GTATAATATATATATATATATATATATATATATATATATATATATATATATATATATATATATATATATATATATATATATATATATATCAATATTGAGTATTAAAGTTCTCTAATTGTACTTCGTAATTGAATTTGCATTACGAACACAACTTGAAATTAGAAATAACAACATACCCAAACAATATCCAAATCATCGATCAAAAGTAAATTAACAAATGCAAGTGCACAAAGCAAATTATTGGAAATATACCATGTGATCAAGTAGACCATTCGTGTGTTATATCTATGTCCTTTGATTGTAATTTTGATATGTGTGTTTATGCAGTGTGTGCTGTGTTGTGCGCGATGGATCTATGATATGATATATATTAACAGCATACACCAACCTATCATAGTTAACATTGATATAATCAAATAATATCATATCGGTCCATTGTACAAGTTGAGTGATCTCCTCCTTAGACAGGTATTCCAGATAAATGTCATCTGCAAAGAGGGGCTCTCCAATGGCCCTGTAAATACGGTCTAAAAGGATTCCTGGAAGCATAGGACTATCAAGAAAACAGAATATTATTTTGTCAGTGTCAGTAATGAATTCATCAAAGATTGAAATTCTGCTTAAAAGTTCATATGCCATTCAGATAAATTAAGTCATGAAAATAATTACTGTAGCCCTAAAATACAACGAATTGAAATGTTTACATTTCTTTTGCGCGTACTTGTTTTGGTAGTTCGATCGCGGAGTTGACTATTCGCACGCTGTAAAATGTCGGGAAGCGTCAATCGAAAGTAGAACGTTAGACCAGTGTACTAACCCTTTTTTCAGGCCTTCTATCCACTGTGTGAGCGATACAATATCTCCATCTGTGGGTGGATCAGGCATTCGTTTACTGCTAGGTTTCTTCTCTTTTTTCTCGACCTGTACGCCTTTCCATAGCCCGGAATTAAGATTTATCTTAGAGAGCGTGGCGAAGGGGACGCTATCCATGCCCATCAATTGAGATAAATGAAATGCAAGAAGTTCGGCTGCGTGTGAAAAGAGAATACATTGTGAGTAATTTTACAATACGATACCTGTAATTTGGAGTTAGGCTACTTAGTACATATGTAAAGTGTGTGTATTCGGGATCCTCGACGCCGTTACCTTGAAAACTGGCCAGGTGTCGGTTAAAGTATGAAGACCTAGCGGTATAGTTTTATTGTGCCATCCCAAACTTTTCGACCATTAAGCTATCTACTTCAATCATGCAAGTAAGAATAATGATTTGGCAGTAAAACATAGCAGTACGCGCTCAGAGAAAAAAAACACGCTAGTGCGCATGCGTTTTGACTTACTTTTATGTTTAGATAAATTTGCATTTGCGATATATATTATTTCATCAAATGAGTATTGCTATGCTTCTACAAAAAGAATGTTTTGTTACAATGCTCAAATCACATTAGTTCTTTGCGCATAACAAATGTGACTGCGTTCAAGCTGTATTCATGGATACATAATTGTGGTGTGTTTTGCTTCACACTGTGGTTTCTCACCCTTCCATAATGAGAAAACTGCGTGTACTATGCTCATCTACGAAATGAAACATCTGTACTTTGTGTTGGATGGTATGTACTTGGCAATAGTTGACCGATAAAGGTCGCACGGAATATTTAAACTTCTGAATATATTGCGATAGAGATAGTTATTAATTGCCATACTAACATCTCAGCTCACAGTTCACCTGGCGTGCAATATACTGACTATCGTCTGACAATATAGCCATCCAGCGTCTGCCATCGTCTGACATCTGTACCAATTTTTTGGCGGAGAGATTTTTCAACGTATTCTTTTTATTAATATCTTCATCGGTAACACCTGCAATACCAAATAATTTAGAAGAAGTTTGTAGGCTAATAGCGGTCTGGCATTTGCCATGGCAACGATGGTTCAGGATTTTTTGATAAATTGTTCCACTAAGCTAGATTATAGGTATGACCGGCCTATTGACTTTACACAAAGTCGATCCAGACAAAAAGAATCACAGAAAGGTTAATACGTAATAGGCTAGGTCTGACGTTACTTACATTGGCCCGACATCAGAAAAAATGCTATATGAATTTGCTTGTTAGACTTAAACACTTGATGAACTTGAAAGTTGCAATGACCTCCATTAAAGTTAAATACTTTATAGACTTGAACATTTGAATGAACTAAGTGTTAAAATATTTTGTCATTCGGAAAATGTGGTGTCATGCATAGTGGCGAATCGGTAGAAACATTTGCATTTGCTACGATTCAAAAACAGCTCAGCGCACACTCAAGCAAGATTGACTTTGAATGATGCTACTGCCGTAAAGTAGGGTTCTGGGTCATTCCCATAGCAACGATAGGTGTTTTTTTTCAAATGTTCCTACCTAACTATTACCTGCCTGTCATGTATTAACAGAATTGGTCAGCCAAATAAATCACATAAAAGTTAACACCGTTACTGACGATAAATGTATCCCAATTTCCGGGTCAAAACGCCAAATAGTAACTTTGGGCACACTGAAGCAGGGAAGAATGAGATATGTTCGAGATTTGTTATTGCAAGATGTGTAGATATATTTGCCTAAAGGTACACCGGTGGGGCATGATTTAGTTGGATGAGATGAGGTGAAAAAAGATTTGACACGTTGATACGAATCTAAATTTGTCTGTATTAATTTCAAAACAAACAATGCAATAAACATTGTACATAATTGGGGGCGCTGTTTGATAGATTACGGAAGCATATGCCCGTATAATGTAGGTTACTCATAAAACAGTGCTTAATCATTCAAAATCGTTCGGCGCAGCACAAAAGGTTAAGTTGAGCACACATTTAATAAATTTGAAATTATGAATTTAAGCATTATGCCAACTTCTCGCATGAAATTCAACGAGTAATATATCATTAATAAGTAATTTGTAAACCTATTAGTCTGCACTCTTATTTAAAAGCATTTACCACCGCCGTGGAAATAATGTGTTTATAATGTGAATGTATTATGTGATGATATTCACTGACACTGTAACCCCTTTCTAAAACAGTTAATGTTTGGAAAATAATTTAGATGTAGGTAGTGACGTATGTACAGATATATAATAACAATACATTGTCATAGTAAACTATTAATTACACACACCATACCTGTAGGTATCAAATCTTCCACTGCCTGCGACCAGTAAATACTATCTTCGACTATAGCTATATCCCCTACATACCGAATATTGTCTTGTTTCTCTCGTGGTTTGGCGTTTGTCGGCGGCGGCTCTACAAATACACGGTCAACACCAGGTTCCTTTTCAACATCATGTTTTATAGATTGTTCACCCACGTCGTCGAACCTTGACCCGATTGAAGATGCGACGTTGAAAACAACGTATAGCACGATTGTTAGAACAATTACAGATGGAACGCTTTTCAGAATCGCGGCTCGCCTCCTCGATAAAAACAATGGAATTCGTAGGTGTATTCTTGCCATATTTTGGGTTTCGTTGATAGGATACGTGTACAACTAGACCGAAAACCGATGTCCCGTTTTGAGCGATGCTAGGAATTATTCATTTTGAGAACCACATTAATAGCATGTGCACTACACTACATACATTGTACACTATCGCTATGACCTCACATTGCTGCTATAGGAGATATTACGAGCTCGTATAATTTTACTTTTTATAATAACGTGGCGGCACGTGCGAATTATGTGCAAACTATTTAAATGATATCATCTACGGCAAGTTAAATGAAAATAAATGCCAGTTTTCGATTATTTTCTGAACAGATATTTGTCAAATTGGAAGATGGTATCACATCATAGGTAAATTTTGTGGACAACACTTGTCTCAACATAGTCATTATATTGATATGGAACGCGAGAAAAGAGTGTAATTGTAACAGGTGAAATATCTAGATAGATGTACACGTAGAAATGCAATTTTGTTTGTGACACGCCTTGTGTATATCATTGGCCAGGATATCCAAATCAGTGGTAGGCTTGCTTGCCTAATGGATTAGGAAATACATTAATTGCAAAGATATTAAGATATTGCAAATAATTTTATGTGGCGGCTTTTCGTCGAAACACTGTAAATGTCAATTTCACAGAATATTCTTTGTTTTTCTATCAAGTCGTTTGTTATCTGTATTTTGTGTCATGCATCAAACTGAATAACATACGTCAATATGAAAAATTAAAATATGGTGTGGGTAATGAATTCATCCTGATTTAATTTTATTCATTTAATGTTTCCATACGTTTTCGGCATTTTGTTGTGTGCCCCTGGATCCACGGCGTCCGCTATTACCTCACATGTATATTGTTAGGAATTACTAAGACATGTACAATGGTATCATAATTGAATTGTAATGAGAGCAAATATAGTAAACGTAAAACGGAACTTGACAATCTGAATATATAGGGGTAAAACATCTGTAATAATAGTGGCCTTTTTAGGTTTATCGTTAAACTTTATATTTAGTTTGATTATGCCAGCGTAGTCCGTTTATTCTGTGTTAGTCGCAATAGCCGTCGTGCTTGTTTGTATATGAAGCGAGTTTATTCTCCGACGAATTAGTTTTTCGATCTACTTTTCGATCACATTGATTTATAATCATAACATTGCTAACAAGTCACACGACATTAGGCCATTCTATTTGGTATATACTTTAGGAAAAAAAGAAATCCTTATATTTTGTTCACAAATTATTATGATTCTAGAATGTGGCGAGCTTCCATTATTTGTCTTACAGTGCCATTATGCCATTGCGCACTCAGAGTTGGAAATTATATCGCGTTTCATAATATGGCTTCATATTATCGTTTGAGGGAAATACAGAAATGTGTATAATTATTACGATTTAATTTAGATTCAGTATTATATGAGATCAACGGATGTTTCCATCCCATTGTTTACATTAGGGTATTCGTGTGTCTTCAACTTGAATAACTCGATATTTACTGAAATTGCAAAAACGATAATTGCTGTTCAAAACAATCTAAATTGTTAAAAATGACAAAAAAATAAAACAGTGTTGCTTTTCTTCTTGTAACCCACAAATTCATAACGAATACAGCAAAGCAAAAAAAAAACGTTCACCGTGGTCAGTAATATATTATGCATTCTTTGAAAGAGAACGACTGGACAAAGATATTATAGTTTCGTAATTAATTACAAGCATGTGTTATTTTCTAAATACAATATATAGGCGCATACAATTGTTAGAGAGTATATTTTGTATATGTTGATATCATTTATTGACTGGGTTATTTTTATACTGCCGTTTGTAATAATTTATGTTAAATTATGTATTATCACACTGGTCATGTTACTTATGTATTATTACATTGGTCATGTTAATTTATGTACTATTACACTGGTCAAAGGTCATATAAAATATTGGTGCGATAAAATTCCAAACTTTCCAAAATTGGTACATATAACGCACCAATTAATTCCCGGAATATTGGGAAATAGCTCTTTCGGTAGGTAACGGCTGTTGTTTATTGGTAATAAAATTGTCGGCAACGCGCGCAGACGCGCATGTCAGTTACAAATGATAATAATAATCACACATAACGAGTTTTGAAAGAAATACTTAACTATGATCTTAATGGGTGCAATGCAAATAAATATGAACTGATCAAACAAGACAAAGTTGATTATTGTGATGAATCATATATGGATAAAAATAATTAATACCAGCAGCCACTGCGCTTTAATTATAATGTCTAATTTATTTACATAAAGAATACATATAATACAATTATTTAAGAAAATAATATTTTCAGTTTATTATTTTTTTATATTTCATCGGTGACCATACATTTCTTTACACTGTTGTATTCTTTTATAAGCTCTATTTATCCGCTCGTGGAATATTTCATCAATTTCAAGAGCGTTATCATCGCAGTCCGGAATCGCTTGGCTGTTATTTAATTCCGCTAAAGGCTCATGAAAATGAACAGCTCGTCTGATGTGAGCAAAGGGTTTCGTGCTATAATATAGTTCGGTTATTTTATTTACGGTCGATCTTCTGAACACGCAGGTGGAATTGAGAATCTCCTCTTGGTGTCTCAGAAGGAGGTCACTGTCTCGGTAAGACGGACTTGTAAGTTGATAAGCCCATATAAAGCCCGTTTGGTTATCCAACAACCAGAATTTTTTACCTTCACTGACACCAAGATTTCTTGTACCAATCTTGCCACTGATCTTTCGTCTGCCTTTATATATAGATATCAGTCTGAAACAAAGTTACAAAGTTTTTTTTACAAATTTGTTTCTACTATGGTGTGGAAATATATCTACAAAATCACACCGCGTGACCATAGGCTGTCATGCTGTGCAGGAACAGCAACTCGATGCACATGTCTGGCTCGATAAATAAATAAACCAACATCGACCCAATACCACGATTGCTTTGTAATGTAAATATCTTGGAAATCAAAGTTTGGGTGTGGGGTATATGCGTGGACATTACGATCATTATATCGTGGGCATGTTTTGATAATTGCGGTAAACATTTATCCTCTTTAACACTGGAAACTTGCCTAAATGAATACAACCGTAGTGGCTTAAAATCTTCTTAAAATTAAAGAGGTATATGTGCGTGTGTTTACGTGAGTTGGGCGACTCTGTGTACATGGAGGACATTTTCCTGGTCATTCGTCTTTACCTAGAATATACAAAGACTATCACACCTTTGTTCACAAAGTAAAAATTGGTCACATGACCATGCGTAAAATGAATATCATTAGCTCACCTGTCGAGATGTGCCGTGAGATAGTCAAATAAAATAACATCTGTCCATTGCAGCAAATGAAGTAAGTCGATGTCAGACATACCATAGATCAGGGGATGATGTGCATAAAGTAATTTTGATCCTTTCAGAAAAACCTTTGGTAAAGTGATACTACGGGAGAAAAAAACTATAACATTGGCTTCTCGCAATTTTATTTTCATAGAAGGTGTCGTCAGAATTACGAGGCTATTCACTCAAATAACGTAAATAATTCAAAAAGAAACAAAAAATGTCTACGATTTACTTAAAATAACAAAACAAAAAACGCAAACTTAAAAATGACCTTCATTCACCCAGTATACAATGCCGTTGCTTTACATTAACATTAAGACACTGATGTTTAGTGAATAATATGGAGATTCAATCAATAATATTCCATGTACAAACTATTACGTAGTGCTTTCAACAATTATATATCACTGCATTTCCTAAATTAAATGAATCCGGCGATCGCCTAGACTGTCTGGAAATCCGAACTTAAATATCTGGCCAACAAACCAAACATGTTTTCCTTAGGCAAAAGTTTGTATTTAATTTAATATGACGCAGAATCCTTTCGCACTCAGATAAACCAATTGACAAGGCAAAATGATTTGCTTTTCAGAGATCACTGACCTTTTGTTTAAGTAAGGTTTCCATTCTATAAGTGCAACTAGTCTGTCTGATTTCCATCTTCGTCCACGTAGACGTCGTCTTATTTCAGGGGCTGACCACATTTCTGTCTCAGGATCGGGTCTTGATAAGATTACTAGCGGCACGTTATCCATTCCGAGATAACGTGATAAATAGAATGACAGAAGTTCACCTTCAGAGAATAAACACACACATTTGTTAACTAACATCATTTATCAACAAGCATTTACTTATACCAAATATCTACAGAGTCGTCATTGACATCATTTCGGATGTATTGAACAAGCAAAAACACGCTTTGTTCTAATGACAGAGTACAATTTGTTTAATATGTACTTATTAATATTTACTATAAATATTTATAAGATTTGATTTTTCAAAATTATCTGAATTTTTATACTAGTATTTATGGATGTTTTTTTTAGTTATTATCATTGTTAATTATGTAATGTCATTAATGTAGTGGTATCCAAACGATATCCAAATCCATAGAATTAAGGTAATTATTTCTCAGGAGCCAAAGGTATTTTGACTACTTGTCTAGAATCTCTCTCACGTATTGTTTGGAGGTCATTCTCTAGTAATTGAATGTTTGTTTCAACATGTCCATTCTCTGTTCATTCCTTTACATATGACATTATAAAATACTGCGTCTATTATACACACAAATCATTTCGTTGTACATGTATGTTGGTACATACCTAGAACAAGACACACATTACCATATCGAGCGCAAAGCTTCGATCCATCAGACATGCGCAGTTGGGCGCTGTTTCCGCGACCACATGAATGTACTTCAGGCCACGACATGTATTCAATTTTTAAATCCCTGAGTTGTTTTAATTTGATGTTCATTTCGCCGTCATCGAGACCTGCAATGAATAATTATTCGAATAAAAAAACGAATAGTAGTTATCAATAATTCGATGCGCAATTAAAGCGCCACACCGTATAGTGTTCAGTATTGAGCCTACAAAACATGTACATCGCGTGTAAAACGCGTTGTTTGAATGTATACAACATTCTAAAGTGCACTGTGTGGCAAGTGTGACGCTTTAACAAGATAGCACAACTGTAATTAATCCCTGATCGTCCAAGATATATATGTCAACTGTGGATGCCAACATGTAAAAAGACATTGTGTTTGAATTTAGTTTTACATAGTGTCTTGAAACGATTAAACTATTTGTGCAACTATTTTCGAGAGCATACGACTCTATGTTTTCTAATAATTGATTAATTCCATTTACAGCTTACCGACTGGAACCTTTCTCTCCAACTCTTCAGCCCAGTATATACCGTCTTCAATAATAGCCGTTCTGTTGATATATATTAGAGATTTCGGATAATTCAACTTTTTCGGCTGTGGTGGTTTCAACTTCTGATAATATCCTACATTAGGAGGTTCCACCTGTTTCCTCTCAGTGTTTATTGTTTTCAGAACTCTCATTGCTTGGGGATATTCTACAATTGGAGAGGAAATCATCGAAATAGTCTCGATCTCATCAACATTGTGTATTACATCCATTTGTATCCTCGATAATTCTAATGTTTCACTTTGTTTAGGGGTTATGTCTTCGTGAGTTGGAATCAGAAGATGAAGCAAAGCAATTGAGCATAACACTGCAAAACATTTCAATAAAGTTCGCCGGGGTCGACTAAAAAACAGAATACATAACAACCAATGTTGCTGTTCCATGTCAATACACTCTTTAACGTTTGTGTCTTCTTCCTTTGGCTTCACTCGCGAGCCATCAAATTCGGTTTCGGTTTCCAATGAACCAGCGTCTGAGATAACACCTGCAATAAGTAATCTTGACCGAAATAATCGAGCTGTCCACGGAGAAGATTGCCCCTTCATTGTTTATAATCCACTTGTATCTGAATTAAGAATATTATATTCTTAAGTTTCCATTCCCCATCTGTCGCACTATACTTGGTCCTGTTAGAAAGAAATTATTATCTAATCAATATATATTTTATTTTAGCCTATTTTAAATTCCACCGAACAAGGTCTTATTTACGCTCCATTAAAATATCTATAAATCGATAGTTTATATTATATTGTACAATAATGTGAAAGCATTTACGGCCCTAGTGGTTGGAGTGTGATTAACAAAAAAAAGGCTAATTCTTTTGCCACGAACAAAACAACTTCTGATAGGTGCATTAAAAACAAACTTGAAATAAAATACCGGATGTATTATAAAAAGCATTGCATTTTTTGCGGCTTATGACTTAACTATATGCTAATACATGCCTAATTATATGATCACTTCACATTCACTTGTTATAAAGAACCTCTGCGTTAATTATTAAACGTTAATAACATAATATTTTGGGAGAAATCTGACATATTTCAGCATGCACTATATTTACAGCCATCTGTGAATGATTTAAATAATTTGAAAATAAAGCAGTACGATGTGCGTGGATTTATTTATAACTTCCCGTAAAATAATCAAAATAGTTAATTTACATAACCATGTTGATTTTACATATAATAATTACATAAATTATTTGGCATGGTATGAAAGCCTCTTTACTCAATTGGATGAAACACGATATGTGGAAAAAACGCTGCTCACATCAGGTGATTTTTATGCGATGAAGGTATTATGATAATGAGCAGAATTTGTTTTTTAATGCAAATGACAATATTGACTGATCAGTATGCAGTATCACTTGAATTAAATCTGAATTGCATAATTTCTAGAAACAAATCTCGTAAAATAAAAAAAGCATTAACCTTACCAATTTGGTGTCAACTGCCGATTCAGCTCAGTCAAAACATGTTTGCGATTTGAAAGAGACATGTCAGCACAAAGGTAACAATTTATGCTTCATATCTGCGATTTTAAATAACATCACATAACTCAAATGGGCGTGACACTTGTTGAAAATAGGAAATTTAGTTGCACTGTCTATTAATGTAGTGGAGATTTCAATGCAACACAAAAGTCAGGCACACTCCGAGTTACTTGCAAATATGGAACACTATTTCGCACGCTGTAGATAATCCTGGAACAACGTTGCCTCGCGGTTTTTGAGGCGAAGATCGATGGTGAAATTCAGTGACGTGTAACGGATGTTTAAACCAATTAAGATAATTATGCGAATCATTTAATCAAATTAACCACACATCTCCATAGTAACGACCTGAGATCACCCAGCTGTGCCAATCATAAATTCATTTGATGTATGTAATTATTGAAATGATGTATTCTTCTGGCAGTGTGCGCATGCGGTTATACGCATAGCGGAATTAGAAGTGATTTGGTATTAATGAGATTTAACAGTTGTTGGTCAAACTAATATCGACAGTCGCGATCGCCAATTAGTTTTCATAGCTAGATCGATAGAATACTTAGTTTATTTATGACATCCTAAACTAAAAACCTATCAATTGTTATTATTACATCACGAATATGTTGATAATATACTATAGTTACAGATATATTAATTCATTTGTTATGTGGGGAACGTTTAATGTTCTGAAACAGGTTTTCGTCCATTCCCAGTGACACTGAAGAAACTCACGGTTCTCGATGAACACAAACTCCGTTTTATTTCAACGGAACGGTTTACAAACACTTGTTACATCAGCGACATCTTGAACATTCTAGAAAAACCTACCAACGAGGCTCGAACAGTATCATGGGTAA